GCAGTTCCAACCCCCCTAACAGGGCCACCAAACATCCACATTGAGATCAGGTTGCCCAGGACCCCGTCCAACCTTGAACACGGCCAAGGACGGGGCATCCACAGCCTCCTGGGCAGCCCGTTCCAGGGCCTGACTGCTCTGCTGTTCAAGAACTTCCCCCTAACATCCAACCGAAATCTTCCCTCCCTCAACTTGGATGGGTTCCTATGGGTTCCTATGGGTTCCTATGGGTCCCCTTGGTTCCTATGGGGCTCTGTGGGTTCCTATGGGTTCCTATGGGGCTCTATGGGTCCCCTTGGTTCCTATGGGTTCTATGGGTTCTATGGGTCCCCTTGGTTCCTATGGGTTCTATGGGTTCCCATGGGTTCCTGTGGGGCTCTATGGGTCCCCTTGGTTCCTATGGGTTCTATGGGTCCCCTTGGTTCCTATGGGGCTCTATGGGTTCCTGTGGGGCTCTATGGGTCCCCTTGGTTCCTATGGGTTCTATGGGTTCCCATGGGTTGCTATGGGGCTCTATGGGTTCCTATGGGGCTCTATGGGTTCCTATGGGGCTCTATGGGTCCCCTTGGTTCCAATGGGTTCGATGGGTTCCCATGGGTTCCTATGGGGCTCTATGGGTCCCCTTGGTTCCTATGGGTTCTATGGGTCCCCTTGGTTCCTATGGGGCTCTATGGGTTCCTGTGGGGCTCTATGGGTCCCCTTGGTTCCTATGGGTTCTATGGGTCCCCTTGGTTTCTATGGGGCTCTATGGGTTCCTATGGGGCTCTGTGGGTCCCCTTGGTTCCTATGGGTTCACAGAATCAGAATCACAGAATCACCCGGGTTGGAAGGGACCCCAAGGATCACGCAGCTCCAACCCCCTAACAGGGCTCTGGGACCGCCTTGAAGCGTGGCTTTGGGTTTGCTTCTTGCAAGCAGCCCATACTTGTGTGCTTGTTAGCAGGGCAAGAGAGGAGATCACACGTGAGCTATGGCAGCATGGTGTGCTTGGCTTGGAAGTGACTTTCCAGTTCTCTATGGCCGCAGCTGCCCGTCAGCTCTGTGCTGACAGAGCTCTGAAGCACACTTTGGTGATCCGTCTGCGTTGCCTCGCTTCCCCTCACCATTCCCAACATGCTAAAAATCATCAAAGCAGTGAAATATTGTCCCACGCCGCAGGAAGAGGGATGGGAGCGTGTTGCTGGTATCCAATCATCTGCTTATCCTGCCTGTTCTTAAGAAGAGAATTTATTGAAGCAATTTATCCTGACTAAATGCGATATAAATCTGAGCACATGTATGTGCATAGCAGCCCTATTCCGTCGTGAACGAGAGGCTGAATCTGCCTTTAAGGAAGGAGGAAACCTTCCTGCTGCCGGCCCAGCAGCTCCTGTTGTCCCCAGTTTGTGGCAGAGCTGTGCCATGGGGTGGAGCTGGCAGGCAGAGCACACGGCAGCACCGGGCTCTGCTTTGCTTCGGGTTGGTTTCCTTTGGCTTGCTTTGCTTTGCTTTGCTTTGGTTTCCCCCTTTCTTGTTCTCTTTGGGCCATTGGAGCCCCGGCAGCCGTGGCTGATCCGTTTCTTTTGTTTCTCAGGCAGTTTTAATTCACGTTGGAACTGTGGGCTTTGGGCTCTGCTGTTCTTGTTGGGAAGGCAGAGGGTGGGACGGACAGATTTCCAACCTTAGCAGCGCAGCGTTGGCTGCCCTGGGAGACACAGCAGCTCCTTCCCATAATTATGCCACGCGTTGGACAATAAGATTTGTTTGTTGATGAAACAGATACATCCCCAACCTCATCCCACACAATCATAAAGGGTGACTTAAGCGGTCTGTAAACACTTCCAGCACTGAGCTCTTTGACAGCAGGGTGTGTTATGGCTTTTCTTGCAGCTCGGTGCCCTCACTGCTGGCTCCGTGGGGCAGCAGCATCACTGCTGTAATGCGGGCTGGCCTGGGAGCCTTCGGGTCTGGGGGTGAAGTTTGGGAGCCCTGACGGCTCAAGGGTCTCCTTATGCTCCAGGAGGAGCTTCCAGGCTCTTCAGATGGCCGTGCTGCTATTTCCATCCAGGAATCCTTTTCAGACATTCACCTCTGAGCCCCACAAGTGCAAACTTGTGCCCCCGGCTCTGGAAGCAGGGAAGCAACTTGTCAAAGCCTGCACGAAGCAGTGACTAAATGCAGAGCGGAGAGGCTGGAAATAATGACTTGCTTCTACTTTCAGTGTGATGGACAACGCTGCCTGCAGCTCTGTGCTGAGTGCTGTGAGGCACAAAGTGAGGCTGTGATGGGAAAACGAGATCCAGGCTGCCCAGCACAGCAGTTATCACACCTTTGGTCGCTCTGTATCCTTATGGCAGAGTTTTACCAGCCCCTGTACTGCAGTGAAATGACTCCAGTGCTGAGCTGCAGCGTGCTGCGTGTCCCAGCTGTTATCCTTTGCTCTTCCCTTACAGAAGAGCAAGTGTAGAGTCTTGCATCTGGGGAGGAATAATTCCATGCACCAGTACAGGTTGGGGGATGAGCTGCTGGAGGGGAGCCCTGCGGAAAGGGACCTGGGTGTCCTGGTGGACGACAGGTTGCCATGAGCCAGCAGTGTGCCCTTGTGGCCAAAAAGGCCAATGGCATCCTGGGGTGCATTAAAAAGAGCGTGGCCAGCAGGTCGAAGGAGGTGATCCTCCCCCTCTACTCTGCCCTGGTAAGACCTCATCTGGAGCACTGCGTCCAGTTCTGGGCACCCCAGTACAAAAAAGACAAGGATCTCTTGGGAAGAGTCCAGCGGAGGGCCACGAAGATGGTGAAGGGCCTGGAGCATCTCTGCTATGGGGAAAGGCTGAGAGATCTGGGTCTGTTCAGCCTTGAGAAAAGGAGACTGAGAGGGGACCTGATCCAGGTCTGTAAATATCTGAGGTGTGGGGGGCAGAATGGCGAGGCCAGACTGTTTTCAGTGGTGAGTGGAGACAGGACAAGGGGAAACGGCTGGAAACTGCAGCATAGGAAGTTCTGCACCAATGTGCGCAAGAACTTCTGTACAGTGAGGTGAGGAGCACTGGAACAGGCTGCCCAGGGAGGTGGTGGAGTCTCCTTCTATGGAGATGTTCAAGACCTGCCTGGATGCCGACCTGTGTGCCCTGCTATAGGGAACTGCTTTGGCAGGGGGGTTGGACTCGATGATCTCTGGAGGTCCCTTCCAACCCCTACAATTCTGTGATTGTGTGATTGTGTGATTCTGTGACTGGGTGGCCCTATGCTAGCACTGGTGAGCAAGGATTGTCTCTTGCCTCTCCCAGCCTTGCGTTGCTCTGCTCAGCCAACAGCAATATTAGATGCTGTTCTTCTGGACTTGGAGTGCAGGTGACGCAACGTATGAAGACTCTCTGCTTCCCTTCTCCTTAGAAGCTGTGGGTGCCACATCCCTGCAGGTGCTCCTGGCCGTGGCTGAGGCCCTGGGCACCGCATCTGGTGCCTGATGTGGTGGTTGGCAGCCAGCCCACAGCAGGGCCTGGGGTTGGATGTGAGATCCCTCCCAGCCCAACCGAGCTGCATTCCATTTGCAGTCAATGCGAGCAGCGCTTTGGTACCGGGGGAAGGTTTGACCTCTCCATCTCTCCCTGCTCGAGGCTGCGTTGTGGGTAAAGCTCCATCTTCAGGGCTTATGTGTGCCTTCAGAGCAGCTGCTGTGCTGCCCTGTGCTGGGACATTTGCTGGCATTTCATCTCCCTGCACAGTGCTGTCACCTCTCAGTGCCCCACTGCGCCTCAGGTGGCGTTGGGACGTTTTTGCCCATCTTTACTGTCACTCTTGTCCCATTCTGGAGCGTTCTGCCCACTGTCCTTTTCCACAGGATGTTTGTGGGTCTGTGTAAGCGTTACCATTCTGCTCCATAAATCCAAACCTCGATGCTGTTGGATCCCCCCCCTCCTTTTGGATGGGGAGCAACGAGCAGCCGCTTCTGCACAGCTTTGTGTCGGTGCTGCGCTGTGCTGCAGGGAGGTTCCGCCCTGCAGCCACGCGTTGGAGCCTCGCCTGGAAATTACCAAAGAATTTCTTTATTCCTCCTTAACCAACATGGATTTTGAGCAACAGGGGACCATTTTGCACCCCGTGTGCTCACCCTGCGCTGCAAAGTTGCGTTCTCAGGGCACCATCCTATACCCAGCTCCTAAAAGCAGTGCCTCCCTCCCCATGGATGCATTCTGGCTGCTGTGCTTTCTGCTCCTGCACCCAACCCTGGAGCACGGAGCTGCTGGAGCAGCCGTGGCATTCTTTGCAAAGCAAAGGGAGAGCATTTGCTGCGTGATGGCTTTTTACAACGCCGCGATGAAAATAGCAGTGGGTGGAGGGAATGGTTATTCCTCCAATTTGGGGCGGTGGGGGCGGCTTTATTTACTCTTATTTCTTATTAATAAGAGTGGCTTCACTCGGAGCATAATAGGAGCGAGTGTTTTGTTATCCTTGGCTGTAATCTGTGATAAACTGCCCCTGCCATCAGCCTCGTAGTTTACCCACTAGGGAGCCGGATTATTGCCTTGTAAAATGGAGCACCACTCCTATAATCCCTTAATTAATTAAATGACAAATTTTAGTTCTCTCCCATTGAAAATATAACTTGCACATAGAGAGGGCCTGGATTTATTCCACCGCTTCGCTCTCTCACGTTGGGTTTTTTCCCCCCCCCCAAAGACCATCGCTGCCTTCGCTCACTGCAGTGCAGTGCGTTGTCGAAGCGCTGACCGATGCCTGGGGGTTGTGGGGCTCAGTGTGGGGCAGCCCCCCGTGGTTCCCAGCTGCCCTTTGCCCACAGGGCAGCACTTTTCCCATACATGAAAACCAGCAGGGCCCTCCGCACGCCTCATTACCGGGTGGGGTTGATCTCTGTTCCCCGATGGCGACGCAGGATCTCCTCCTCCCTGATTAATTACAGTCCTGCACGTGGCTGCTTCTGCTCCAGGTATTTTAAATTCATTTTAGGTTTTTTTTCCCTCCTTATTTAACGATTTCCTCCTTTCTGCTCTCTCCCCAGCGTAGCTGAGCTGCATGAAATATGGGCGACGACAGACCCTTCGTGTGCAACGCCCCCGGCTGCGGCCAGGTACCCGCACAGTGTGCTTTATTGTGAACGTGTCGCTGTGAATCAAAGTGGCTGTTTTATCACTGAGGCAAAGAGTTTAAAGGCGGTGTTTTACGTGATCACTGGAGGTAATCAGATCGGAGGATTTGCAGTGTGTAAATCCCGGTTATGAGCGAGCGCGAGAGCTCCAACGTAATGAAACCTGCTGTGCTTTGTGGTGTGTTGTTATGCTGGCCTTGTGTTCCGCATGCACTGATCTCCATTCACGTCTGCCCACAGCGCTGCTGTCTCCTTGCAGGAGGGCAGAGGTTTGCTCTGTGTGGGTTGAGCTCTTTGCCATCTGCCTCAGTTGATGGTTTGTGTTACGCAGACCCCAAACTGTCGTCGTCTGTTCCGGGCTTGACAAAAAAATAGAAGGGAGAGAGAGAAGGAAAGGGAGAAAAAAGACCCCATTGTGAATTTTTGCTCTGTGGGTGACAATGGGATGAGGTTTAACAAGGCCGAGTGTCGGGTTCTGCGCTTTGGCCACAACAACCCCATGCAGCGTTACAGGGAGTGGTTGGATGACTGTGAAGAGGAAAAGGACCTGGGGGTGTTGGTTGATGCTCGGCTGAACATGAGCCCACAGTGTGCCCAGGTGGCCAAGAGGGCCAACAGCATCCTGGCCTGCATTAGGAATGGCCAGCAGGAGCAGGGAGGTGAGCAGCCCCTGTACTCAGCACTGTGAGGCCGCACCTCGAGTGCTGTGTGCAGTTTTGGGCCCCTCACTACAAGAAAGATATTGAGGCCCTGGAACGTGTTCAAAGGAGGGCAATGAAATGGTGAGGGGTCTGGAGCACAGGGCTGTGAGGAGAGGCTGAGGGAGCTGGGAATGTTCAGCATGGAGAAGAGGAGCTCAGGGGAGACCTCACTGCACTGCACAACTGCATGGAGGGAGGCTGTGGTGCAAAAGGCTCTGGCCTCTTCTCCCAGGCAAATAGCAGGAGCCGAGGAAACGGCCAGAAGTTGTACCAGAGGAGGTTTAGGTTGGATATTAGGAGAAACTTTGTCTCTCAAAGGGTGGTCAGGCACTGCTATGGCTGCCCAGGGAGGTGGTGGAGTCGCCGTCCCAGGTTGTGTTCAAGAGGCGCCTGGATGAGGAGCTACGAGAGGTGGTTTGGTGCTGGTGGTACTGATAGCAATGCGAGCGGGGTTGGACTGGGTGATCTTGCAGGTCGTTTCCAACCTTGTGATTCTGTGATTCTGTGACAAAGTGGAGTCGGCTGCGGCCGTGCAAAGTGTTGGTGCAAACTGGGAGTGCTTGGAATGAGCTGCAGCCCATCCCAGCGCTGCGCCGCTGAGTGCTGTGCGTCGGTGGGAGGAGCGGAGCGTTGCACAACCCTGTGTGTTCTGCTGCAACGGGGACTGGGAGGAACCAGCACAGCGCTGGGTGGGGTGTGGACAGCTGGCCTGGTCTGTTCTGAAGCGTTCTGACCTCAGAATGCAGCTGTTAGGATGGAGAGGAGGGGGCTCCGTGCCTTCAGCGAGGCCTGCGGCGCTCCGTGCCCGCTGTGTGCTGCTGGCCACGACCCCATTGGGAGCTCTGACCCCCCGCAGGATCCCCCCGTCCCCCTTTTAGTTGGAATTAAGGATCACGTTGCATCCCGTGCGAATTCTGTGACGTTTATTTTTGCCGTGCAGAAACGGGTCCAAAAAAAAAAGGACTCAAAACCTGCAGTTTTGGGGACTGTGGCTCTTTTAACCGGCAGCACTTTGGCTCTGCTGCACTTCGCTCCCATCCACGTGCAGGTGATCTTCCTTCTTTTTTTTTTTTGCAGGCTGCTTTTTATCCTGAACTTCTTTGCCTGTGAAATTGTGCAAGTCATTTATAAAATGTATTAGCTGCATTTGAGCACTTAATGATGTGAGCACCTCAATCATACAACCTTAAAATCGGATTCAAACAAGCAATTAAGGCAAACAACAATGTATTTAAATTTAATCTCCCACAATCTCCCACAAATGACATATAAAGGTGGTTGCTTCCTCCTTTCGCTGTTCCAGACTGCTGCTTATGGGTAATTCTGACAATTCTTCATGTTAATATTGAAATGTTCGAATCCAGGTAATTCATCCCGCTGTGATTCATTGTGATCCAGCCTGACCTCGCGCACGGCTTCCTGGAACGTCCTTCAGTACCCGTTCAAACCAGAGCATGTATGAAATAATGATGATCCAAGCTTGATTTAAAATATTTCCAGCGATGGAGAATTCACCGCAGCCCTCGTTTAAGTTGTTCTAACAGTTAATTGCTCTCTCTGGTGGGGAAGAATTGCCTTATTTCCAGTCTGGACCTGCTCGGCTGCAGCTCCTGGGCTGCGGATCTTATTCATTTTTGTTTGTTAGACAGCAAATCCTTCCTGGCAAATCTCTGTGGGTGTTGACCGACCTCTGGAGTCACCCTTTGCAGTCCTTCAGACTGCACACACAGCCCCAGCCTCTCCCTGCAGGTCCCGGTGTCTCCTATGAGCGGAGCAGCAGCACGGAGAGATTCTTCCCGGCCCGACCAAGAGCTGTGCTGGTGCTGGAGGGGCTCTCATCCATTGCAGCATTCAACCATTTTTCTCATTCTTTAAGACCTTTGGGTGCGTTTTGTATACAAGTACTGCTGAGTGGGCAGCTGTGCTGCATGTTGAGCCACTTTGGTCACCAGGATCACTGTGTGTGGTTGCTGGCTGTGCCCCTTTGCCGTGGCTCCGATGTCTCTGTTCCTTTCACTTGCAGACCTCTGATCTCTTCCCCGATCCATCAGCGTGTTTTGGTCCCTGCAGGCTCCTGCTCCTTTGGGTGCATCCCCCATTTCTGAGGGGATCCCGTTCCCAAGGACGTGGTGCCGGGGCCCCAAACAGCCGCAGTGGCTTCAGCTTCCATCACCAGCAGGCACAGAGCAGCCATCAGCGCCGTTCCACTCCGAGCGCTGCGTCCTTCCCCGTGTGAGCTCTGCATTGAGATGCACAGCAGCACCAGAGGTGACAGGAGAAGGGAGAACAGAGCCAGGCTGACCCGAACAGGAGACTGAAGGCAATCACCATGAAGCCAGTGGTGCTTTTTCTCACTTCAGCTTAAAGGCGAAAGAATTCTTTTGTTTCCCAGTGCCGTTCCTTTGACCCGTCGGCCTCTTCCTTCCCTCCATACCTCACACCACCCCAATTCTTTGGCTTTATTCCTCTTTTCCCTTCATTGCTTTGGGCACAAGGAGGCCGTAGGACTGAATTTCCCGGGAAGCAAGGAGGGGGAAATGGGAGCAGCCACCAAAAATAGATGCGCTGATCCCTCCGTGCCCCCCACATCACTGCGGTCAGTGGGGCTCGGGGGGGGGCCGTAAACATGTTGTGGTTGCTAGGTCTGTAAGGGCTGTTATTTTGGGATGCTGTGTGTTCCATCGCTTCCCAACAGCACGACTGCTGCGACACAGCTGACTTCTAAATGCTCCCCATGCTTTTACAAAGGGTTCTTCCCAAGGTCGTGGGCCGGGTCCTTCTTTGGGTTGATATGGGACCGTTCCTCCCTGACCCCTCCCCTGTGCGCATCGCAGGGCAGTGGGCAGCTGCTGCCTCCTCTGGCGCAATGCTGCGCCTGCACCGAGGCTCCTATTGAACTCATTAAGCGAAACGAGGTGCTGCGCGCCGCTGATCATCGTTAAAAATCTCCTAATGCCATTTGTTGTGCGGAGATGAAAGTCAGCCTCAGCACAGCCCTGTGCTTGCTGTCAGCCGACGCGCTGCCGCTGAAGTTGGAAGGTGGCTGAGTCTGTATAAAGATACGGCTGTGACTCATTAACACGGGGTAATTAAAACTTTGGCCGTCATGCTGAAGGGATCCAGAGCCCTGGTCTGTAAGGGAGGAGGGCAGTGGGTGGTGCTGGGCTGTGGGGCAGTCGGGGGGGTTCCTATCAGGGTCCATTTCCCTGCCAGCACAGCCAGCACCTCTCGCCATGGGCAGCAGAGCGCTGTGAAAGGCGCTGCTGGCTGCTGTGCCGCCTTCTGCTGCCCTCCAAAAAGCTTTGGGTGCTCCAGAGCTGACAAAGCATCGCAAGAGAGGAACATCCTTACCAATGGAGATCTTTGGTCCATTCCCATGGCCGGACAGATGGAGGCCCATCACACCGAGCGGCTCTGCGCAGAGCAGGGCTTCTCCTGCCCTCACACCCCACGCCATTTCCCTCCTCGGAAGCGACGCAAATCACCGCTGTGTCCTCGCTCAGCACTGCAGTTATCCAGGCCATTTCCTCAAACAATCGTTTGCTTTTTAAACCCGCCCTTAATTTAACAATTTATTCCCCTTAAGCCCACGGCACCGAGGTGATGCTCGTGCGGCGTCCGAGAAACGCAAAGCCCAGAACTTTCACGAGGCCAGACAATGATTTTTCTTCTTTGTGGTTTATTGTATCCTCTTATCTTGTCATATAATAGAAATAATGTTTATGGCATTGAGGCCTCAGCATCACTTGGCATTTAACCAACCTCAAAAGCAGTTTATTGCTTTGTATACTCTGCCACCATGACCATTATCCCTTAAATCTCTATTGCTTTGTAATATACGAGGCAACAAACGGCTTCAGCGATTGGTTAGGGGTGGGACCGAAGCTAAGGTGTGTTTTGTGGCTTGTATAATCCAAACGAATATGGATTATTCCTTTCATACAAGGCAGAAGGGGGAAGAAATGGGCAGCTTCTCCCTCTGAGGAGCATCCCAGTGACGAGCTCTCCTTGCTGAGGTTCTCACTTTGACGTGGCCTGGGACATGCGTGGTGCCGGGGCAGCTCAGGTGCTGCTGTGCCGTGTTCTGGGCTGTGATTCGTGCTGATATTTCTTTGTCCCAGCATCAGGCAGGGAGCAGCACGAGGACTGAGCCTGGCCTGCGTTCCTGCAGAGGCTGAACGCCCTCGGTGGGGGCAGGTTGGATTCAATGCAATGCAATGGAGTGCAGCAGGTAGGGAGGCGCGCAGGCAGCGCAGGGTGAGGGAGAGCGGCGCCTGCACC